CCTGCACTCAAAAAGTAGAGGTAAGATGATTACCATAAATTCAAGGTTAGCCTTTAATTTAGCAAGACTCTCTTGTCTCTACCCAGAAACGAAATATTAAAAGTATATTTAATAGATATTTTTCATTCAGTTAATAAAAACTGGCTTCCAGCAGAGCATGGTAGTACATGCATCCCAGCACTCAGGAGGCAGAGGCAAGCAGATCTCTGGAGGATCAAGGCCAGCCTGCTCTAAAGTGAGTTCCAGGGCAGCCGGGGCTACAGGGAGATCCTGTCTAAATTAAATAATCAATCAATCAATCGATCAATCAATCAATCAATCAATTAGTCAATAAATAAATAAATAAATAAATAAATAAATAAATAAATATTGGCTTCCAAAGGAAACAAATAAGGTAAACTATACTGAGTTTTAAAAACTGATCCACTGGGCATGCACGCACACACGCACACACACACACACACACACACACACACACACACACACCTCCTATACACATTTAATCCCTGCACTTAAGAGGCAGAGGCAGGCTACTCTCTGTAAGTACAGGCTAGCTTGGTCTACACAGTGAGTGCCAGTTCAGACAGGACTTCATAGTAAGATCATGTCTCAAAAACAACAACAAAACTGATCACTCTAGTAGTACTTATGATATATATTATGGAACTTAAGCCATATTAATCTTTTCATGTAAAAAGATCTGAATAACTGGATCTTAACAGAATAAAACAGACTTAAAATAGAAAATTCCACTCCAAAAGGTGCTAAAAAGTCACTTATAAAAAGATCTAGTCTCGGAGCTGGAGAGATGGCTCAGTGGTTAAGAACACTGACTGTTCTTGCAGAAGACTGGGTTCGAATCCCAGCACCCACATGGCAACTAACAACTGTAACTCCAGTTCCAGGGGATCCAACAGCCTCTTTTGTCTTCTGCGGGCATTGCACGACACAGGTGGATGCACTTATCTACATGCAGGCAATACACACATACACATAAAATAAAAATAAAGTATTTTAAAAATAGGATCTAGTCTCATATAGATATCAAACCTGGGGACTGATGTATTTTAGGTTTATTATTATAACATATATTTATTTACAGAGTATTTTTGTGTTGAATGAGAGAAAGTCTGTTTAATTTTCTGTAAGATTTAGAAAGTTCACAAAATCACCTAATTGTTTCATGTGTTAATTCAAGCAACGAGTTTAAAACATCATAACTCAGCTCTCTGAAACTAAAGATCTGTCCATTGAGTAGGTCATTCTCATTTCTAAGACCCAACAATTCTAAGCCTAAACATTTCTAAACTCAAACAATGCAACACTAAGCAAAAGCCTTTCAGTGGTTTTTTATGGATTTAAGTTTTTCTCACTTGTTCATAGATATTTCAGGCAAAAGACAACAGTTTCTTATACTACATGCTCCAAATATAACTAGAAGCTCAACTAAAAATAAGATTGTGAAGTAATTATTAATTCCTTCTCAAATCTTATAACTAATGAAAAACAGATAATTGGTTCATATGGAGAAATAAACTGATGAAAAGCTAAAGAGAAAAAATGGGAAAGCATACATTGTTTAATATGTAACTTAAGATCTTTCAAAGAACTGAGGCAAAGTTAGTTACTGTTGTATGAAAGAAGAGTGATTTTTGCATAGAAATAAATGCAAGAAACATAATAGAAGGCCTGTGTTACAACGGAATAAAAAACTCCTCTGGGGAGTAAGATGAACAGAGACAGTTACAAAATTAACTAGCAAACAGAGCTATTATTCATGGCAGGTATGTAAGCAGTGAGGGGAGCAATGTTGGTGGCCTCTACCCATCAAACAGCTTTGCCAGTACAGACTGGATGCCTGGAACTGAGCAAGACACAAAAATAAAACCTAGAGCCAACCAGGGGAAGATTCAACACAATCCATTTCCAACTTCAAATATTACCAGAAACCTACACTGAAGAATATTTTCCCTTGGGATTGGCATGCACTATGCTTGCAGAATGTTGACCAACACTTAACATCTATTCATCTTACTATGCAGAGCAATATGCTAAAACATGGGTCTAAAATCACCCACTATATTACAGATAGAAGTGATTCTAACATTAGTTGGCAAACATTGCTGTTGATAGAGACCACCATGTCACTCCACGAACAGATGGCCAGAGTGAGTCCATTTTACCGACAGTGTATTATGTGGATCTTTGTATCACAGTCAAACAAAGCAAAAGCACAAAACAAGAGAGGTCACAGTGCCCTCCCTCATTTTAATTAGAAGCTTTATTTGTGAATGTGAAAATAAAAAGCCAGCATAAGCTACAATCGTACATAATATCATTTCTATGTAACAATAAAATAAGTATTCATAATAAAAATCCTAACATTTATTAACATCGAAAAATACATGGCAAAAGAGCAAGTTTTGTCATTTGTAGGTAAGTGAAAGCAACTGAAGATAATCACATTAAGCACATTAAGACACCCAAGACTGTCTCAGAAATACAACCAATCTATGTGTTCTTTCATATGTGGTTCATGGATTTTAGGAGAGATACATAAAATCATGCATGTATACATGACAAGAAAGCAAAGTGAAGTTGTCTAGGAGACAGAGGTGACTAAAAGGTGGGGAAAGAAAAAGGAGGATGAATGGTATGGGGGGGCAATATATTGAAAATAATATACACTTCAATGAAATTTAAAAATGAAAATACATGGTACATTTTATTTTTAAGCCCATGACTACCGCCAAAAAAGATAATCAAATTTATCATTCTAGTTTTGTAAAGAAATAAGTAGTTTATAAAGAAAAAGCAAATTATAAACCATTTATTTTTATTCAGCTTTTTTTAAAAAATGAAACCAGGAAAAATATGGGTTTTTTTCCTTTTGGGGTTTTTTTTTTTTTTTTGAGACAGGGTCTCTCTGTTGCCCCAGCTGTCCTGGAACTTAGTATGTAGACCAGGCTGTCCTTGAATTCACAAAGATCCACCTGCCTCTGCCTCCTAAGTGCTGGGATTAAAGTTGTACGCCACCACGCCTGGTGAAAAATATGTATTTTAAAGGGCCCGAGGAAATGAGGACCCAAGCTAGATCCCAGCACTGACATAAAAGCTGAGCATGCATCTGAATCCCAGACCGAGGCGGGCAGAGACATGGATCTCTAGAGCTCGCTGGCCATTCAGTCTAGTTGAGTGGATGAACTCCAGGTTCAGCAAGAGATCCTGTCTCAGGAAAGTAAGATGAAGAAACAATTGGGTAAGATTCCTGATATGAACTCAGGCTTCTACACTCACCTAAATGCAGGTGCACATGGATCTACACACAACACACATGTACACACACACACACAAACACATCCACAATAAAAGCAAATGTGTTCATTAGGAGAGTTAAACGTTCTCAGGGTTGACAGTAGGGAATCTCTCTTTAAAAAGCTTTGATTTCTGTGTATATATATTATTATTACTTATTTTAAACACATTAGGCAAAATAACCAAACATATTAGTAGTGCACCAAATATTCAATATTCAATCATGAGTGGTAATTTTATACCATGAGACTCCTTGAAACATACACACACACACACACACACACACACACACACACACACACAAAAAAACTAACTGGATTCTTAGTATACTACCTTCACTTGCTAACTACTCCGCAATATATTTTATTTTGATTTTGTGAAACGAAAATAAATATGTAAGACAAAAGAGAGAAATTAGGACTACATTTCTATTTATAATAACTAATAGTAAAAATGGCAGCTAAAATTATATTATTAAAATACATCTATGCACGTGGTTGTGAAAACTTAGGTGCTAAAATAATTCTGGTAAGCTACCTTCAGGAAAGGCAATGAAATCTGAGGTTTAAGAGTACATCTTTAGTACCTCTGTACCTTAAAATATTGCCGAGTATTAATTTTTCATCAAGTTGTCATTTTCTCTGACATTTGGTTTTATTAATCAAGGCATTTATCATTAATTTGTAGAAAATATCATAATTAAGCCAAATAAAATAAAATCCTTAAAAGGTTAAAATTAGAAGGCAGGTGAATTAGAACTTTGACATTACTCTGTTGACATACAGGAGCTTTTTGGAAGTACGAGAATCAAGTTTTTTCAGAGTTCAGTGCCTCAATCTCAGGGCTGGCTGATTTTAAAAATGTTATAAAGATTTGATTTAAAGCTGTCTGACAGTTTTGACATTCAGGTGAAAGTACTGCTGCTGCATTTGGAACAATTTGCATATCCCACCGCTAAACGAAATGTTTGAGGTGTACACTGGTGTAAAGAAATTAAAAACAAGCTATCACACATGCTTAAGTGTATGTATTCACAAAACTGATGGTTGGATCACACCACCCCATCCCCCTCCAATGTAATCTATGATTTATTCTTCTATAATAAATTACTCTAGCATGTTATACCCCCTGGAAGAGCTAAACATGCACATAAAGAAACAAAGTAATCACAGACCCTGCTTGCCTAAGAAATCTCTTTCAAGCCCTATGCAGCAACACAAGTCTATTGTAAACGTCTCGCCAAAGTTCTGGACTTCTATCAGAAGCTACTAAATATCATCTGTATAGTTTTGTTGTCTTCAATGAAAATATTTTTATTCCTCCTGTAGTAAGGGGTAAGGCTATTTCTGGGTAGGAATATATTCTTAGGTTTTGCCTTTGAGTCAATATGTGTACTTAAAGAAAGAGCAAGGTTTAAAACCAGAAGAATTTGAGACTAATAAAAAGGGAAGCATAACACATTCCTCTACAGAAGAAGAGGTATATCAACATGCAATTAGGACGAAATATTTTTGAGATAACTTAAGGTTTCTTCTGTTTTACTTTTAATTTCAAATTATTTTCAGGCAGAGATTAGTATGTTAAAAGACAAGAAAGAGAGAGTTTAAGTAGTAAATCCAAAGCCTTAAAAAAATCATAAAATATGTTCAAGACAGGAAAAGCTATTAGAAAACATTCGACATTACCTTTGGCCTTCAGAGTCTCAAAGGCAATTCAAACACTCCTTCACTTTATCTGTAGAAACGAAACACTTAAAATTAGAACCCTTACAAGAAAAAGATTTGCATTTCCATAATGTCTTCATGATTAGCTTTGAGAAGTAGGCAACCGACTTCATGTACTCTGACTAGTATCTCTAGTTTTTAAAGGAAACATTAAACTTAATAGAGTCATTACTCATACTGATAATATGTAGTACTGATTTTCAGTAATATATCACAAATATTCAATAGAAATCATATGTGAACATTTTTAGAGGGATGGAAAACAGACTATTAGTAGAAGCTTTCTTAAAATATATTAATAATGGTTTCTAGATTTTAGGTTTCATGGTTCTTAAAAGAGATGACTCATTTATTTGCTTATTACTATTACTAGCATTTATGTTTATGTATGTGTATGTGTCCCTATGTTTCTTCATATGTGTGCATGTATGTACAAATGTATACACAAGTATGTGAAGACAGAGGACAAACTCGAGTGTCAACCTCAGGACTGCCATTCACCTCCTCTGAGACAGGGTCTTTTATTAGCCTGAACTTAGCAATTAGATATGCTGGCTGGCCAGCAAGGTTCCAGTGACCTCCCTGTCTATACCTTCCCTGCACTGGGAATACAAACATATGCCACGTTTGACTTTTTATGTGGGTAGCAGGGATTAAACTCAGCTCCTTGCACTTGCACAGCAAGCACTTTGCCAAAAGAGCCATCCTCCCAGCCCTGGATATTATTATTTACCAGAGACTCTATGAATATCTTCAATATAAAAAAAATTGATAAGCGCTTTTAAACTAGGAAGTATATAAAGATACGGCGCAGACTCTCTCATAACAATAGGTAAGGGGGCTTCAGAGATGGCTCAGCAGTTAAGAACACATGCTGTTCTTCCAGAGGACCTGGGTTTGGTTTCCAGCGCCCATACAGTGGCTAACAATGGTCCATAGTTCCAGTTCCAGAGGCTCCAACTCCATCTTCTGGCCACCACAGGAATTGAATAACACAGGTACACTTACATACATGCAGGCAATATACTCATACACATTAAATAAAAATAAATTTTTTTAAAACAGTAGCTAAGTTTGGTGATATCTGTATAAGCTAAGTAATTTAAAGAAAATAAAAACTGTGTAAAGAAATAAAGGAATAATGGGTAGCATGTTCAGTAGAGCTTATAATAAACACCTACACCAATGACATGACAAAAGTACTTTATATATTTGCTGTTTTCATAGAAAGGCTGATAGTAAGGCCCTACTGAGAACTAGGGGCAGGAATAGATGCACACAGTTATATGAGACATACTTACATTTTAATTATTTATTTATATGTGTGGGTGGAAGCAGTGTTTGTGTGTGTGTGTGCGTGTGTGTGTGTGTGTCTGTGTGTTTGTGTCTGTGTGTAGTATATGTATGTGTGGTGTACACATACATGTATACATGTGCAGAAGCCAAAGGAGAGCTGGGTGTTCTGCCCCATCACTCTCTGCCATATTCTGGTGAGCTTCCTGTCTCCAAATCCACAGTGCTAGGGTTTCAGTCATACATAACCACATTCCACATTCAGCTTCTTATGGGAGTTCTAGAGATGAGAACTCAGGTATTTAAGATTGTAAACCATAAGCTGTCACCTGCAGAACCAATTCCCCAGCCCTTGGTTGAGTCCCTTTTCAAGTCCTTTCTAACCATATAAACATTTTGATAACATAGAATCTAATCCGAGACTGGGAGCTACAGAAGAAAAGATGTTGAGGGACCTTCAAAGATAATCTGTGAGTTTTAAATATTTAACTACAAACAAATCTCCCATGAAAAACTGAGCTAGTTATTACATGTCCTTGGAAAGTGTTCTTTCTAAACTTGACGTGAAATCTCTATGTTGACCTTGTTGTCATATTTACTAAGAATCTCCACAGAGATTCAGTCATTCGATGTCTCAAAAGCAGTTTTACTAATGGAAATGCAGTACATAAATATGAGTTAGTCTTATAAGCCCAGTATATGTACAGCAAAACGCACCTTTAAAGAAAGTCAGAGGGTCTTAGTTAGCTGGATCTCTAGTGTGGATATACAATTGTCTTGCAAAGGAAACAGAGAAACAACAATGAGCCAACCAGTAAACCACAGCATGCCCGAGTGGACGCTGTGCTGATAACCAAATGGGGTCCAGAAAAGGAAATGGCAGTGACACTTTATATTCAGGGAACATGAACAACTCTACAAGCACCCTATAACTGTAACCTTTAGGAGAGGCACTGAAGAGCAGATCAAAATCATTAAAAATAAATGAATAGAAGGCGAATGGGGAGAGAAGAAAAAATGTTCAGATTGCAAAGTGGTACAGAAAGATTCCTTTGCAAAAATTAATTTAGCCATTACATGATACATTATAAGAGTAAATTTTATTTATTATCTCTTTCTCTCACTATAATGGGAGTGTGATGAGAAGGCACTTTGTCTTTTTCACTCTGTCCCAACTTCCATGAACAGTGCCTGCCATACACCAGAAGAGCTATGCATATTTACTGAACGAAAGAAAGAACAAACTGACCACCCTATGACCCAGGCTCTATATAACACAAGTAAAGAAATTTGGGCTTAAAGAAGTTACATGGTACATAGTAATTTAAACTTGTGCTTTCTGCAACTCCAAATTCCTGCAATTGATAGTTTTACCAGAATGTTTTTCAAATAAGGCAAACAAGCAGCAACTATGTAAATAATTAGATGTATGCCATGTAAGTAGCACAAACACGACAATGCTGAGCATTACATGAGGTGGTCTGTTGAGAGGTTTAAAAAAAAAAGAAGTTACTTCCAAGAGGTGATGATATAAAGAAACCTGGAAAGTTAAGAGAGACAGTTAAAACTCTTCTAGGAGACAAATTGCACTGCAGCCAGACTCAATGAGATGACACACATTACCTTCCTTAACAAAATGGCTAGCACTGAAGAAATGGTGCCCTCACCAACTATTATTTTTATATTGGTATTTTATCAATATTGGATTTCTTCAGCAGATAAGCCTGTCAAAAGTACTCATTTTTATCTTCCTCAAAGTACTTTAAATAGTGCCTAACAAAATCTCAATAAACAGTTATAGAACTGTAACAAAGACAACTATTATCACTTCATTTATTAGAAAACATAAACAGACTATGAGAATAGAAAAAAGTCACCAGATTTCATATGCCTGATTCAGTCTAACAAGTATCACATAATAATTAATCTTCCCCAGTTTTTTTTTAAAGTAAAAAGAAAAAATATGGCTAAGGACAGTAAGTCACGATTCCAAATTAGTAAGACCTAATCAGAAAAGATAAAATGATGTCACTATTAAGCCAGGAGCCTGGTCATTTACATACTGCATCTGCCTTTGTCTGATTAACTTATTTTTTCTTCCAGCACAAGAACTGCTATACCAAGTATCTGATTCATTTAAGTATTCATAGCCAAGCACAGGGATTGCTATATAGCAAATATTTTTTTTTAATCTTTGTTGACCTAAGTTAAAATTAGCATTAAAAGTTCTGGAGATTTTTGTTTGTTTGCAGTACTGGGATTTAACCTAGGGCCTACATACGCTCTGCAACTGAGCCTCATCCCTCTTTTATTTTGAGATAAAGTACCACTAAATGGCTGAGGCCAGCCTTGAACTCAGGATACTCTTGCCTCACTCTCTAAGTATCTGGGATTATAGGTCTATTACCAAGCCTAGCAATAGTTCTGAGACTTTAAAGTTTGCTAAAAACAAAAAGCCAAAATATGGATAAATTTAAAATACTCATTTCAAAAGAATAACTGCCTCAGTCTTGTGGTAAAAGAGTAGTGAATAAGCAGGTTTTTACAAAGACCGAGGTGACAGCCTGAGAAGGCACACCTCAGCAGGGTGAGGCAGCGGCCAGAGGGTAGATACACACTGAAGGAATGGATGGTGGAGGCCTGAGAAGACACACATCAGCAGGGTGAGGCAGCGGCCAGAGGGATGGATGGTGGAGGCCTGAGAAGACACACATCAGCAGGGTGAGGCAGCCGCCAGAGGGTAGATACACACTGAAGGAATGGATGGTGGAGGCCTGAGAAGACACACATCAGCAGGGTGAGGCAGCGACCAGAGGGTAGATACACACACAGGAAAATTAATTTTGTCACCTACCTCTTACTGTGAACCAAAGTAGAATTAAAGTTCATAAATCCAAATGTAATAAAAAGTAAAATCAGTAAGCTACAAGAAAATGTATCTGCATCATTTTCTGAACTACATAGTGGGGAGGACTTAATTACACATAGAAAAGGTTGTACATAACATAAACATATAAATCAATTTGCTAGGTAAGACAAAAAACTTTAAAAACACACATTTATATATACATATACAGTTAACAAAATTAAGAGGCCAATAACAAATAGCTAAATGTTTTAATATGTATAATATTCATGGGGTTAATAGTTTTTATAAATAAAATATTCCATTTTTTAAAAACTATTTTTATTTTATGTGAATGAGTGCTTTGCCCTTTGTATAGGTTAAGTGCATGACTGGTAACAATGGAGGACAGAAAAGGGCACCAGATTCCATGGTATTGGAGTTATGGATGATTGTTAGCCACCATGTGGGTGCTGGAAACTGAATCTGGGTCTTCTGAAGAGCACCTAGTGCTCTTAACCACTGAGCCATCTCACCAGTCCCAAATATTCCAATTTTTTTAGATTGAAGAAAAACAAGGAAATACAAAGTACATTTATAAATAGTCCTCAATGTATTTTTTCAAAATATATAAAATTCACTAAAATAGAAATAATCTAAAATGTACATACATTATATTAATATGCAATAACAATTAAGAAGTGGAAAATTAAAACCTAAATTTTTCATAGTAATGAATAAGTTAAAACATAAATATGATACAACGTTAAGTATATGACTAGTGAAAATTGTTTCTAAAACATTCAATTGGGGGCAGGGGAGGCAGGGTCTCACTATGTAGCCCTGACTGACCTGAAACTCTTTATGGAGAC